TTTGCACTCGGGGAGTTGCTTGCAGGCAGGTGTGCGAGGTAAGAGCAATTTTGAAATTGCGCGGGGGGAGTGCTGGTGTTGCGACAGCATTTAGTGTGGGCGGTGGGTGGGTGACGAATATTGGTTTTACATTCGTGGCGTCGTATGTGCGAAAGCAACATTGCTGCAACATTCGGGGTGTCGTTTGGATGTGGCTTGTTTTGCTTGCAGGCAAGATGAAAGATAATTGACCACAGGCTCTTGTGCGTAGCTTACACTTGGTGGATACAACTCGTCGGCGATGTCGTGAGTTGACCTGTTGCTTGTCACGCTTTGTCCCACAAACACGGGTTCCTCTTGTTTGTGTGGGAAAGTGCTCGTGCCGTTGGCAAAAATGACAGGGTGATGACGTGACCCTGCAGAGTTGTCCGCCTTTGTTTATGTTGTGGATATGAGCATTGCTGAGATGAGTTTGCCTTGTTGTTTTGTGTGCTTTCTGACGTGAAAAGTGCTAACACGTTGTTTGCAGCAACCAGTGTGCCGTGTTGCAACTTCATTAGCATCCCCCGTTCCAGTCGGTGCCGTCACCAAACATGCACCGTTTTCAAGCACAGCCGGTATGGCTGGCTAAGACTTGAGGTGTGGCCTTCGCACTTTCCCGCACCACCCGCGTCGACGATATCTCAGCATCAGCAGTACATTCAGCGACGACAGTACCAAACCAACGCAGCAAGGCCACAACCATGAGGTTTGTTGTGGTTGCAGTGTTTGTCGCTGCCACTTGTTGTTGTTGTTGTTGTTTTCCCCCCTCTGCCACAGCGGCAGACGTCCCTGTCGACACAACAACAACCAACGCCGACACCGACACCACCAACACCGACACCGACAAGCCCGTGCCGCTCAGCTTTGGGGACTTCTTCACTGGCGACCGGGATGTGTTCTTTGACTCCGTGTATCAGCATGAGACGCTGATTGACCACCGGCCCACGCCGGACGCCTTCACGCCGCGGCTGCGCCAGATCACAACGCCACTGAACCAAGTGCAGTCATTGTGCCACGCCTTTGAGCAGCAAGACAAGCAGAGCGGCGGCTTCCACGTACGTGTTTGTGTTAGTGTTTTTGTTGTGTTGATGTGTGTGTTTGTGTGTGTGTGTTAGTGTTTGTGTTTGTGTTAGTGTTTGTGTGTGTGTCTGTGCTGGTCTTGCCTCCTCCCCTTGCCCTTGGCCTTGTGCGTTGCCTTTGTGTGTTTGTAATACACGTCATGCTTTCAGCGCTCTTGCCTCCTCCCCTTGCCCTTGGCCTTGTGCGTTGCCTTCCTCAATCACGACTTTGACCTCGACCTTCATTCCCTCACACATGCACACGTACACACACGTACACACATGTACACACACACACACACAACGTACACATGATCCACAGATCAAGGAGCAAGGCGAGACGCGGCAGGTGTCGTCATGCAAGCAGATGGAGGACGAGCTGGCTGCCGGCGCTGGTTTGCTCATCCGCTACGAGGACCTCGTGGACTCCCCCGCCCAGGACCACGTCAAGCAGCTGCAGGACGGCGTGCGCGACGTGTTTGGCACAGAGTCCACCGTCCACCTGTACCACGCCACGCAGAACGAGTCGCGCGCCCTCATGCCGCACACAGACCCCTACGACGTCCTTGTCATCCAGCTCCACGGCTCAAAGCGCTGGACAACCTGCATCCCAGACGCATACGTCTCCGACACCGACACCAACAACGACGGCAGTGGCACCAACGCAGAGGACGACGACAACGCCAACACCGGCACTGGCGACCACGGTGCTTCTGCTTCTGCTTCTGCGTCGTCTTCCTTCCCAAGCCGCCATGGCACACGCGCACGCCCAAGTGAGGCAGAGACCATCAAGCACTTCAACCCTGCGCAGCTGGGCCAGCTGCAGGAGATCCGGCGCCAGAGGCAGCAGGGGTGCACGGCGTACCAGGACGCAGACCTGCGTGGCATGCGCTGCAACGAGTTCACGCTGCGTGCCGGTGACACCATGTACATGCCCAAGGGGATCATCCACTTTGCGCTGTCGGGCGAGGAGGGCTCGTCACATCTCACCATCTCGCTGGAGCGCAAGGGCCTGGCGTGGGCCGATGCGCTCATGCACGCGGCGCTCTCTGGCGCGGACATTGTGGACAACCCGGCGTTCCTTGGCCACTGGAAGAACACGGTGCAGTCGCTCATCAGCGACTACCGCGGCGTGCAGCTGCTGGAGGCCATGCCATCCTGGCACCTCAACACGGGTGCGCTGTGTGCAGCGCGTGGACAGGAACAACAGCAGCAGCTGCAGCAGCACGGTGATGGCAGTGCAGCTGGCGGCGAGCGGGATGAGGCGAAGGCGTTTTTGGCGTCGTTCCAGTCGCTGTGTCGCGAGGTTGGACCCGATGTGCTTGAGACGTACACCAAGGCAAACGACCTGGACGCGTTCCTGAATGCAGACGGCATTGGCGCGCTTGTTGAGCGCGTGTGCAGCGAGGAGTCGGCCGCCGCTGTTGTGGAGCAGCTGTGCGCACGCGGCAAAATGCCCGTGGACGTGACGTCGCCCCGCTTCCGCAAGATGCACGTGCCGCAGATGGTGCGCAACGTGTGCATTTGTGTGTGTGTGTTTGTGTGTGTGTGTGTGTGTGTGTGATGTGCGATGTGTTTGCCTGCTATGTTCATTACTTCATGATAGCTCTGACGTTGTTGGCATGGCCCTGCGCTGATGTGTGCGACCTTGTCCCGGTGACAACAGTGACCCACCGCACGCGCCTTCGCACTCATTAACCCTCATGAACACACACGCACACACACGCACACATTCATACACACGTACTCTCACGCACACACACACACACACACACACTCGCATTGTCCATCACAGGAGCGTGTGCGTCGTGCAACTGTGACGGCCGCATACACCTGCAACACTGGCTGCGATGAAAGCTGTGACACGTAAGGAACCACTTGTGCTGCATATGCCTGGCACTTGCGCTCATGACTCGGAATGCACAGCCCAACTTTATCATACACACATACACACACTCTCACCACTTGCTCGCGTCTTGTCACTTATTACCAGATCAAGCTGCAACCTTGGATGCGACGGTGGCTGCGCAAGTGGATGTGACTCCGGCTGCACCAGCTGCGACACTGGCTGCGACATCTGTTATTCAAATTGCAACACGGGCTGCGACGTGACCACGTGAGCGTAATGCCATGCGGGAGCAATTGAAGTGATGTGCTTGATGTCCTTGACTCCTTGCATCGGTTGCATATTCTGTGGTGCATATGTGTACGCCCTCACTCATTCCCTTACGTCCGCTTTCACTGCACTGTCATCTCAGGTGTACTGGAAGCTGTGACACCGGCTGTGACATTTGCACCACCGGCTGTGACAGCCTGTGCGATGACAGTTGCAACACGGGCTGTGATACTGGCTGTACCCTCAGCTGCGACACGGGTTGCGACACCGGCTGTAACACTGGTTGCGACTGGAGTTGTGACAGGTGCGGGGCAACTCAAGTTTTCTTTGTTGTTTGTGGTGTGCTTTGAGAATTCAATGCATCCTTATGGCCTCGCATGCGGTGACCACCCGTCTGAAGACTCTCATCTTAATGCATGTTTGCAGTTCTTGTGATACAGGGTGTAATGGCAGTTGCGACAGCTATTGCGGGAGCTGTGACAGGTTTGTTCTGTTGATCTCCCTGCTTTCGTCCTTTGTGCTTGTGGTCAATACGTCACATCAAGTCTGTTTCTACTCACCTGACGATGGCTCTGATGTACTCAACAGCTCGTGCGACAGCAGCTGCGACTTCGCGGGCTTTAGCTGCGACTCCAGTTGTGACAGTTCTTGTGATGACACACGTACGAACTTCAAACTAAGCTAGCATGCCTTGACGCTTGAGACTCCACGTGGCGCAGTGATGTTATCCTCACATTCCTTTCTTGCTTACTTCTTTCTCGTCTTGCGACACTTTGTGATGACATAGCTTGCAGCTGTGATACTTGCTACACTGGTTGCGACAGCAGCTGTGATGGGTGCGACGCAAGCTGCACGACTGGGTGTGATGATAGTTGTGATACATGCACCACGGGATGTGATGACAGCTGCACCTCAGGCTGCGATGGAAGCTGTGACGGAGGTACGTGAACCATTGCAGTCATGATGATGTGTGACAACAACGAAGACGCGCCTGCAAAGTCAAAATGTGGGTGTTCATGCGACAAATCACGCCTGACGTTCACGATTGCTCACCTGAACCACCATGCCCTACTGTGCTGTGCTGTGTGCTGTGCTGTGCTGTGCTGTGCTGTGCTTTAGGGTGCAACCTGGGCTGCGATGACAGCTGCGACAGCTCGTGCACACAGTCAAGCTGCGATACGGGATGTACAACCGACTGCAACGGTGGCTGCGACACGGGCTGCGACGGTCCATGCAACACGTAAGTTGGCGAAACAGGTGGTGCTCGCGTTGTTTCCATGGTGGATTGTCTGTGAGCGACACAGACCACTGGTGGCTGCTTGTGGCAGCTCAGCCCTTGTGAAATCGTTTTTGCGCCCTTTCGTTGGTATTCATCACTGTTGCAATCCTGTGCTGTATGCATTGTGCTCGTTGAACAGGGGATGTGATGACAACTGCAACACGAGCTGTGATGAGTGCACGTACAGCAGCTGCGACAGTTCATGTGACGGATCGTGCTCGTGCAACCCGGGCTACTACGGCAGTGGCACGTCGTGCACTGCATGTGGCCCCAACACGTACAGCGCCAGCAGCGGCCAGAGCTCGTGCACACCGTGCGGCTCCTGCGGCTCAAACCAGTACCGCGTCAACTGCGGCGGTAGCAATGATGGTTCGTGCACGTCGTGTGGGTCGTGCCCTGCAGGCTCTGAGCGCACGGGCTGCAGCGGCACCAGCGCAGGCACGTGCTCGCCGTGTGACTCGGGGTGAGTGCACGACATGGCACGTGCAATGTCGCGCGTGCAACTGAATGCAGAGGCATGTGCGTGTATGGGCGTGTATGCACTTGTGTGTGCATGTGTGTGTGCGTGCAAGTGCAAGTGTATTCTATTCATGTGTCTCAATATGTGCGTTCGCTTGTGTTATCGGGTGCGTGACCTCACACAAGGACACACCGTCTTGCTTGCATGCATGTAACGTTGTGTTGCTGCTTTCTTGTCGTTGCAGGACATACAAGACGTCACAGAACAACCAGCCGTGCAGCCCGTGCGGGTCGTGTGCGGCCGGGTACTACCTCGCCGGGTGCGGCGGTTCCAGCGCTGGCGAGTGCGTCGGCGTGCAGTGCAACACGCCACCGAGCGTGAGCCATGGCAGCGTGTCCTCGCTAAGCAACAACGGGCGGTATCCCAGCACAGCGACATACACGTGCGCGCCAGGGTACATGCTGGCCAGCTCCAGCGACAACAAGCTGCAGTGCCAGACAGACAAGACGTGGGCCGGGACGATGCCGCGGTGCATTGGCGTGCCGTGCCCGGGGATCAGCATTGCCCACGGCAGCGTGTCACCGTCAGGCACCATCCGTCATCCATCCACAGCAGGTGTGTGTGTGTGTGTGTGTGTGTGTGTGTGTGTGTGTGTGTGTGTGTGTGTGTGTGTGTGTGTGTGTGTGTGTGTGTGGTTGTGTGTGGGTATGGTGGTGCTGCCCGTGACATGTTGTGTGCATGTGAGACGGGCGTACAGTTGGATTGTGTCTCCTTGTCTCATACACTCATCATCATCATCACGTGTCCCTCCGTCCCCCCTTGTGCGTGCGTGCGTTTTCTTTTTTTGTGTGCAGGGTTTTCGTGCAACACTGGGTACGTGCTGATGGGAGCGACATCTGCGCAGTGCCAGGCGGACGGCACGTGGTCGTCGCCCGCACCGACATGTGTTGGGCGGCTGTGCACCCTGCTGGACACCCCGAACCACGGCAGCGTCTCGTACACAAACAGCCGGCAGTACCCGTCCACAGCTACATACACGTGCCAGGCTGGGTATGAGCTGAGCGACACGGGGGATGCGCAGCGCAGCTGCATTGCCAGCACGGGCGGATTTGGCGGCACGGCGCCGTCGTGTGTGGGGGTGCTATGCAAACCACTGAGCGACCCGCAGAACGGGCACCTGCGCCTGAGCTCGACGCCAGCGCGGTACCCGGCGACGGCGGAGTTCTCGTGCGTGCCCGGATACGAGCTTGTTGGGCAGGAGCAGCTGTCGTGCAAGACGGACAAGACGTGGTCTGCGCCTGCGCCGACGTGCCGTGGAGTGCTGTGCACGGCGCCGAGCATTGACCACGCGCAGGTGTCGGCGACATCTGGGCGGTACCCTGCTGATGCGAGCGTGACGTGTGCACCTGGGTATGGGCTGGTTGGCGCGTCGACGCTGTCGTGCCGCACGGACGGGACGTGGGGCGAGCTGCCCTCGTGCCAGCTGTGCCCGGCCAACTCGTATGCGCCGTCGCCGACACAGCCGTGTGCTTCGTGCCCTTCTGGCACGTCGACCAACGGGCAGACGGGTGCGACCAAGTGCGAGTGCATTGCTGGACACGAGCCCAGCGGCGACGGAAGCACCTGCGTTCCCTGCCAAGGTGAGATGATGACGCAAGTGCGGGTGTGCATGTTGGAGAAGGATCTGTGTTGCTGTGAGGTAATGGCCCATGTTGCAGCGACACAGCGACGTCCTTGTGCTTGCATGCACTCGCACCTGATGTTGTCTCACATGTTCCCTGTATGCCTCACGCCCAATGCGCCCAATTGCGTGCTTGTGCGAACATCATCATCACCACCATCATCATCACCGCTGCGTGCCAGCCAACCACTTCAAACCGGACTTTGGCTCCGTGTCGTGCCAGCCATGCCAATCTGGGTTCCAGACTGAGAACGGCGACTTTACCCGCTGCGTCGGTGTCCCTTGCGACCCCGTGCGAGACGTGAGTCTTCTCCATGCATGTGTGTGTGTGTGTGTGCATGCACGTTAGGCTGTGGGGTGCATGGAGAAGTCCAGGTGCATGTTTCGGTTGCATGCAGGCAAGCACGTTGCCTGCAGGCAAGCGAGACATGCAAGGGTGTGTGGTTATTCATTGTGCTACACTTGACCGTCCTCACATTTTGTGTGCGTGTGCCCTTGTGTACTGCACGTCCCTCCCAACCCCATGCAGATTGAGAACGGCGACCCAGAGAACACCATGATGCACCGGTACCCGGCCACTGTGTCGTATGAGTGCGACACGGGGTTCCAGCTTGTTGGCGATGTCAGTTCCATCACCTGCCAGACAGATGGCACGTGGTCTGCGCTTCCCTCCTGCACCTACATCTGCGGCGATGGTACGGCAATGTTGTCCTTGCTTGCGTACCCATGTTTGGTGTGTGTGCTTGTGTGTGCGTATATATTGTCCACAGGCAAGTGACAAGCTTATCTCGACACACACCCATCACATCCATCATGTCCACCCCACATCTCCCACCAGTTGACACACACACACACACACACACACACACACACACAGACGCACACACACACGCACGCACAAGCGCACAAGCACGTCTATATTCTGCTTGCTGTTTCACCGTTGCTCGCAATTCAACTCCGTCTGCCCCTCACATGTGTTGCTCGCTTGCGTTCGTCCAACACTGCTGGCACGTGTGCATGTGCATGCAACTAGGCCTCGTTGTTGACGGGGAGGAGTGCGACGACGGCAACACAGACGATGGCGATGGCTGCTCGTCCACGTGCCAGCTGGAGGATACACACGCGTGCGTGGACCCTGGCGAGGCGTGCGTGTACTGCAACTTCACGTCGCGGCCGGAGCGGCTGGTGCTTGCGTGCGACGACCCCATGCTGGACACAAAGGTGCAGACGTGGGCAGACGCAACCGGCAACGCAGAGGTGCTGGACCACGAGCACTGCGGCGACCCCTCGCTGTCGTACGTTGCGGGGAAGCCGCGCGGCACGGTGCCGGGGTGCTACCGCAGCGTGTACGAGTTCATGGTTGCGTTCAACGGCGGCAAGGTGATGGAGACGGCGACGGGCGTGGTGCGCGTGTACGACGACACCAAGCCGACGTTCCAAGGCCTGCCGTCATCCACAACAGCAGACTGCCACAGCGTCCCCTCGTTTGCGGATGTGTCGGCATCGGACACGTGCATGGCGTCGTCGCCCGCAGTGAGCAAGCAGGAGGTGCGGACAGACGGGGCGTGCCCGTACGCATACACGCTGACGCGGACGTGGAACACGCAGGACGCGTGCGGCAACGAGAACGCGGCGACGCAGGTTGTGACGGTGCAGGACGTGACCAAGCCGACGTTCACCACGCGGCCCACAGACCGGGTGCTGGAGTGCTCTGCGGACGTGGACGCGGACATTGAGGCGCTGCGCATGAAGCACGTGGACGCGGCAGCATCGGACCTGTGCTCCGACACGCTGTTGTTTGAGACGGTTGAGACAGCGCGGGACCTGAGCGGGTGCGGCGGCACGGGCCAGGTGTCGCTGAAGGTGACGGTGACCGACGAGTGCGGCAACCCGCAGGAGGAGACGGTGACCGTCGACGTGGTGGACAAGACAGCCCCAGTGCCCGTGAACGTGCCTGCGGATGTGACGGTGGAGTGCTCTGCGATCCCGCCCATTGCAGATGACGTGCATGCGAGGGACGCGTGCGGGCTGCGGCGCGTGAATGCGACGGCGAGCGAGGAGCGGCAGGACGGGCCGTGCCCGCACAGCTACGACCTGCTTCGCACATTCACGTTTGTGGACGCGTGCGACAACCCGGTGAGCAGGACGCAGCGGGTGACGGTGCAGGACACGACGGGCCCCGTCATCACGCGGGACGCCGACGACCTGGAGCTGGAGTGCAGCGCAGAGCGCAACGACGACACGATTGCGGCGTGGCTGGCGGTGAACGGCGGCGCGCAGGCCATGGACGCGTGCAGCGGCGTGCACACGCTGACGTGGACGCACGACTACGACCCGCAGTACTACGAGGTGTTCCCTGGCGGCTGCAGCGTGGGCACGGGCCAGGTGCTGGTGACGTTCACGGTTGCGGACGAGTGCGGGCGCACCAGCACGGTGAACGGCAGCATCAAGATTGTGGATACGCGGGAGCCCGCGTTTGTTGCGCCGCTGCCGCCGCTGACGGGGGCGTGCGACGCGGTGCCGCAGGCGACGGTGCCGCAGGCGTACGACAACTGCACGGGGGAGGTGACACCGACGCAGACGACGACGCGGATGGACGGCGACTGCCCACACCAGTACCACCTGATCCACTCGTGGGTTGCGGAGGACGAGTGCGGCTGGACAACGACGACGCAGCAGACGGTGACGGTGACGGACGCTGCGGCGCCCACCATCACCAAGCAGAGCGCAGACAGGACGGTGGAGTGCTCGGTGGCGGACAACGAGGCGCGGCTGGATGCATTCCTGGCGGAGCACGGCGGCGCGCAGGCGACGGAGGTGTGCGGCGGCGTGACGTGGCTGTACTCTGACGTGGACACGGTGCTGGATGTGGCGCAGGGCGCGTCTGGGGACGTTGTGGCGCAGGACGGGTGCGGGACGACGTTCACGGCGACGGCGCACTTCTATGCTGTTGACGAGTGCAGCAACGCGGCGAAGACGACGGCGACGTTCACTGTGCAGGACACGCTGGCGCCCGTGCTTGACACGCCGCCGGCGGCGTCGATTGACGCGTCGTGCGATGCGGTGCCCGCGCTGAGCAACATCAGCGCAACGGACATGTGCGCGGGCGCGCTGGTGGCTGTTGCCAGCGAGGAGCGGCTGGACGGGCGGTGCACGCACACGTACACGCTGTCGCGGACGTGGATGGTGCAGGACCCGTGCGGGCACATGACAACCAAGTCGCAGCTGGTGCACGTGGACGACAGCGCGGAGCCCGTGATCACCAAGGAGGCGGAGGACCTGGTTGTGGAGTGCAACGCGGAGACGGACAGCGTGATTGCGGCGTGGCTGGAGGCGCACGGCAACGCGGCGGCGGCAGACGCGTGCGACCGGGAGCTGACGTGGCAGCACGACTTTGAGAGCGTCAAGTACCTGCTGCAGTACGGGTGCGGGTCGAACGCGGTGAACGTGACGTTCACGGTGATGGACGACTGCGGCAACGCGGCTGAGACGCAGGCGCGTGTGGTTGTGCAGGACACGACGGCGCCGTTCTTCACGCAGCTGCCGAGCGACGACCGCGCGGAGTGCGACCCGACGACAAACCAGAACACGCTGGATGCGTTCCTGGCGACGTACGGCGGCGCGCGGGCGTCTGACGTGTGCGGCAGCGTGGTTGGGCAGGACGTGGCGTGGTCGTACGTGGTGGACCTGCAGACGGTGTGCGGCAACGCGTACGACAGCGTGGTGACGTTTACGGCGACGGACCACTGCGGCAACAACGTGAGCGCGACGGCGACAATGGCGTTTGAGGACACGCAGAAGCCCGTAATCAAGCTGCGTGGCGCGGATCCGCAGCTGGCGCAGGTTGGGTTCCCCTGGCTAGACCCCTCTGTGGACCTTGCTACGGACCGGTGCCACCAGGAGCTGACGCCGTTTGTTGAGGTGGTGAACCCGCCCAACACGACGCAGGTCGGCAACGTGACGGTGTTCTACCGGGTTGAGGACGCGTGCGGGTATGTTGGGCTGGCGAACCGCACGGTGCATGTGCGGGACACGCTGCCGCCGGAGGTTGAGGTGCTTGGGCCCGGGGAGATGTTTGTGCGGGCCGGCTCGACGTTCTACGACCCGGGCGTGCGTGCGCGGGACAACGTGTGGCCGACGGTGAGCGTGGAGACGGTTGTTGTTGCGGACGGCGCAGAGTCGCGGGCGGTGCACGAGGCGCCGCAGGCGCAGGGGCGCGAGGTGTTCCATGTTGTGTACACGGTGCGGGATGGCAGCGACAACCAGGTGACGCAGGTTGGGCGGACGGTGCACGTGCTTGCGGCGCCGGAGCGGTCGCCTGCGTCGTCGTCAGCAACACTGTCGTTTGACTTTGGGGTGACGCTTGCTGTTGCGGATGTGCCTGGCGGCGGTGCTGGCGGTGCTGGCGGGCGGCGCGAGGTGTACTCTGTTGCGCGGGCGGTGACGAGCGTGTCGGTGGACCCGGCTGCGCACACGCTTGAGGCGGACGGGCTGGACGTTGTGCTTGGCGGGGACGTGGAGGACTTTGTGGTTGAGGGCGGAGACGGCAGCAGCGCGTCGCCGGGGGCGGCGTATGTTGAGCTGCACGTTGTTGTTGGGGGCGCAACGGCGGACGTGGTTGAGGCTGCGCGGGCGTCGCCCAAGGTTGAGGCGATGACTGAGCTGACACGCGCGGTGTCGTTCTTTGGCTCGATGCGCAACGCGGACGGCGACTGCGCGGGGCTGGACACGATTCCGGATGCGCTTGCGCGGCACGGACGCACGTATGTGAGCGCGGAGTGCGAGGGCTGCCTGTGCGTGTACGAGGCGCTTGAGCCGTCGTCGGAGGGCGAGTTTGATGCGCCGCAGCTTGAGGAGACGGTGCAGTACCACGTGACGCTGCGGCCGTCGGACAACCGGGCCTTCAACCTGGCGCAGCTGCGCCTCAAGCTTTACGAGCTGGGCGTTGTGCCGGTGCTGCTGCGCTTCGAGCCCACGCCGGCGCCCACGACAACGACCACCACCTCCACCACATCCGCCGCCACCACCACTGACACCACGACAAGCGCTGCACCGACGTCTGCTGCTGCAGGTGGCGCTGGCACAGCTGCGGCAAACGCGACCGCTGTCAGTGGCAACGCAACAGCAACAGTGACTGCAACGGGTGGTGCTGGTACATCGTCCAGCACAACGACGACGAGCACGACGACGACGACGAGCACGACGACGACCACGACGCAGGCTGTTGAAGCAGTGACGTTTGTGACGCGAACGCCGTTGCCAAAGGGAAGCGATGCACTGCTGCCTGCGCGGGCTGTTGTTGAGAATGTGCGTGCGGTTGTTGCGACGCGGGTGGAGATGGCTGTGACGCCTGACCTGACGCGGGTGACGCTGCTGAACCAGTTCTACCACCTCGGCATCGTTCCCAAGACGTGGTCCATGGGTAAGCCTACAAGTTTGTGTGTGTGTGTGTGTGTTTTTGTTCTTGTGGAGTGGAGAGGGAATGTTGCTGGGGTGTGGTTGTAGTATGTTGCCCCACGTGGACGGGCTTGCTCTTGTGTGTTTGTTGTCGTTACGTTACGTTACGTTTGTGTGTGTATGTGTGTGTGTGTGTGTGTGTGTCGACATGCTATCCCATGTGCGGTGGTATGGAAGGTGCTGGGGATGCTTGCATCCGTGATGTGCACTACTGTCCTGTGCGTTTGCTCACACGCGCGTTTGCGTGGTGTCTTGGGTTGTGCTGAAATGCAGAGGCACGCGAGTCTGAGACGGTGCTTGTTGTTGTGACGTACAACGACGTGACGGCGGCAGCGGTGGCTACGCTGGAGAACGAGGTGACGTGGGTGCTGGGTGCCGGTGTCTGTGACGTACCTGTCGACGGAGCCGCTTACGCCGCCCGCGTGGTCGTGCAACTACACGGTGGACACGGCCCGGTGTTGGGGCGAACATGACTGGCGCTGCAGCGGCGGTGAACGAGACGCTGCACATGCAGGGGCTGACGCAGGGGGTCGACTACCGACTGCACGGGTGCGACGGCGACGTGAATGCGAGCGCAGCGTGTGTGATTGAGACGCGTGCTGCGCTTGGCGGCGGTGTACTGCTTGCGCTTGAGGCGTGGCCGGCGGTGGTTGCTGTTCGGGATGACGGATGCGTGACGCTGGACGACCTCCTGCTCGCCTCCATCAAGGCCAAGCTTGGTAGGGTGTGATGTTTGGGGTGTTTGTGCATGAGATTTGTGTGTGTGTGTGTGTGTATTCGAGTGTGTGGGCTGTGTATGGGCTGTGTATGGGCTGTGTGTGTTGTCTGCACTCGTCGTTGTGTGTGTGTATTGTGCTGCTGTGCCGTTGCCTGCAAGCAATGATACTCACGTGGAACACTGTGCCATGTTGGTGCTGCTGCGTGTGTGCTGGTTGACAGGTGGTCTGCTGCCGTACCCGGTGGACCGGGTGACGTTTAGCGTGGATGATCCGAGCCTGCGTCGTTCATCACAGGTCGGCATGTTGGAAGAAGGGTGTGTGTGACTGGCACAGATCAATGTGCGCGTGGGTGTGTTTGGGTATGGGTGTTGATGTTTGATTTGGGATGTGCACTGTCAGCTCGTGTTGTTGTGGTGCATGTCTACTGGCAGCAACGCATATGCATGTGCGCTGGTGCACGTGCTGACTCGCTTTCATCCACAGCTCATGCACAACAAACATACACCACATACCTACCTCATCATCACCAACACCCGAACCACCCACATGCACACGCAGGTGTCTGTGACGGTTGGGTTTGGTGGGGTGAGCGACCCTGCTGTGATTGCTGGGAGCCCTGGCGCGGACTTTGATGTGCCGGATGACCGGTACGAGCTTCGGTTCCAGGTTGTCAACGCGACGGATGCCGAGGCGCTGGCGCTTTCGGCGCTGGATGCTGCACGTGTGCCGACGATTGAGGTTGAGGTGAACGGAGACCAGGTCCGTGCCGTTGTTGTGACGCGGCTGAGCGGCGACCATGTTGCAGTCTTGGATGCGCAGCCAGATGTTGTCAACGGCACCATTGTTGGTCCAGGTTGGTATATTCGTGTGCATGTGAATGTTTGCGCGCACGTGCGTGTGCATTTGTGTGTTGTGCACTTCGCTTGTATTTGTGTGTGCGTGTGCGTGTACTGCTTGCACTTGCATGCAGGCATGTGTATGGTCGGTCACACGTGTGTGTGTGTGAGTGATGTGATTGCGCGGAGAAGCACTTGCTTTGCTTGGGACAATGACGGATGCGCTTGCAACGACGTTGCCTGTCTTGCACTGACGCTGAGGCTGACTCTGTGTGTGTGTGACTCTTGACAACTGTTGTGCTGGGCCGTACCTCACCGCGTTTGGTTTGCATGGCTGCTGTTTTGCTGCTGTAGTGTCGCTGAATGCGCAGCTGGCGCTTGAGGATGCAATTGAGGCGCTGCTGCGGCTTGTGCGGCGCGGGGAGGTGGAGGCGATTGTTCTGGGCCGCCGCGTGCCTGCGGTGACCATTGAGCGGCGCACAAGGCAGCCAAGGAGCGACAGACGGTGGCGTTCACGAACCCGGCATACGACACGCCAGGCGACATCACGGCGTGGGGCGCTGACGACACTGGCGAGTACCAGGACTTTGATGCTGTGCAGGGCGATGGCAACGACCTGTACGATGAGCCTGCACTGGCGCATGGCAAGGGCCGCGTTGTGCACAACCCGCTGTACGACGGCGTTGATGAGGATGCGGCGATGCTTGGTATGTACGCAGATGCAAGCATGCTGCGGTCCAGCGGCGGCGGCGGCGGCGGTGAGGATGACGCTGGCGAGACATACATGGCCATTGGCGAAGAGGGTGCTGTGCTGTTTGGTGACGAGGAGGAGGGTGTGGACGAGGCAGACTATGCCGACTTGGAGGAGATAGGGTACCTTGACGTTGGGCCCGAAGCTGAGGGTGATGGCGCTGATGGCGATGATGCTGACGTGGAGGCGATGTACGAGGACATGGCAGACACGTCTGACGAGGAGCACGGGTTTGGGTCAGACTATGACGAGGTGGACGGAGCCCAGGCTGCCGCAGAGGATTCCGATGAGTGATGCGGCGATGCGGTGATGCGGGGCTTTGAGCACGCATGTTGTGTTTGTGATTTGTTCATTTTGTCGTTTACTTGCCGTTGTGGTTTGTGTTCGTTGCTTTGATTTGCTGCTGCCTCTCTGAGCTGAACGGCTTTGGTGAGGGAGGGATGTTTGCTCAAGCCTTCTTGGTCCGCCAGTTCTGTGCTTCCTTTTTATGTTTTAAACGCTTAGCTGCGAGCGATCAAGTGTGTTTTGGATTTGTGTGTGAGGCATGATTGGGTGGTTTTGATGTTTTGTTGCAGGCACTCACTCACTTGCTGCAGTGTTTCATTTGTCCTTTCATCTGCTGTTGGTGCTTCTTTCTTCGCCTTGGCTACTCCCTTTTCCGCTACTTGTTGGTTTTGCAAGTGCATGTTCGTTCCTGCTGCACCTTACTCAGTTACTCTCCTGTTATCCTACGCTTGCTGTTGCGCAGTTGAACAAGTACACGAAGCGAGGCGAGATATCAAAGGGAGGAAGAAGATAAGTTCTTTCAAGGGCAAAGGTCCATATACAAGAGATACAGAGAGATACGTGTCCCCAAGGACCCCGCAACTCCTCGCAGTCAGTCGTCAAGGTAAAGAAGGTCACAACATCAAGACAGCAAGACGATCCTTGAAGCCTTGGGCCTTTGGGCAACTTTGCTTCCTTGCTTGCAAGCACAAGCACAACGCGTTGGACATTTTGCAAATTGCACCTGCCCCCTGCAATTGGCACAGTGTTAGCAAATGGAAACAACTAAGAGAAGCAAGCGACCTGCAACACCACCACCAGCACTGTCATCGCCATCCATCAATCTCATCCATCGCGTTCAGAGGGGGGAATGTGGCAGGTCGGAAGGCTGCAGGCTCAGCCATCAGCCCAGGCTCTGAGCAGGCACCTGCGGCGCTTCCATGCTGCGAGAAGCGTGTCTTCGCCCAAGCCCACCAATGCAGCCCACCAAGCAGCCGTTGTTTCTTATTATGACGTGCTTGGCGTTGACCGCTCCGCCTCTGCACAGGACATCAAGAAGGCTTATTATCAACAGTCCAAGGTGCGTTGCGGCAAACAATTTGCCTGAGCGTGCAGTGGAAAGTGGTGATAGGGGATGGTTGGGGGATGGGTGGCGTGTACCTTCACCTTTTTCTTCCCATGGTCGCATGAACTCCCCACACTTTTGTGCCTTCACGTCTCATTGCTTTGTTTGTTGTGTTTGTTCAGATCTGGCATCCAGACAAGAACCCCGGAGACGCAGATGCCGCGGACCGCTTTGCTTTGTTGACTGAGGCATACAACATCCTTTCACAGGTGTGTGAGACGCCGTTTAAGCGCTGGGGGGGGGGGCTGCGTGCATGTGCGTAATGATGATGATGATGATGATGATGATGATGATGATGACGCGTCATAGAAACGCCAGTGCTGTTGTCGAACTGTGTATTGATGTGAGTCCTTGTGACTGGGCCCTTTCTGCCAGACCGAATCCAGAGCGCAGTATGACCGCGGAGCCGCTGTGTCGACACAGGTGCGTGCGTAGGTGCGTATGTGCGAGCTTGGGAGAGTGAGTGGGAGAGTGAGTGAGCATGTCAACGGTCATGTATGCATTCGGATTCATTTCAACATGCGTTCGATGTGGTCCTCAGCATGCTTGTTCGCGTGCTATAGACTGCTTTGTTGCTGTGTGCATCATCATTCCCGTCCAGTGTTTGTCAGCACGGGTTTGGCAACATGCTCATGACGTTGGTGGTGTCATACAGCCTGGTGCGTCGCCCGGGCCGGTGTTTCGAAACCAAAGGCGTCAGGGACCACTGAACTACAACACACAGTTTGACTTTCAGGTGTGCGTGCGTGCGTGCGTGGATGCGTGCGTGCGTGTGTGTGTGCGTGTGTGTGTGTGTGTGTGTTTGTGTGTGTGTGTGTGTGCGTGCGTGCGTGTGTCTTTGTGTGTGCGCGTATGTGTGTGTGTGTGTGGGGGGGGGGCTCATCTGTCTTCGCACAAGATGATTCACATGCCATCTCATCGCACCCTTCATGCCCTGCTTGTTTTCGTCCATTCCCCTTTGTTCCACCACACTTTCCGTCCTTTTCTTTTCCGCTCGCTTTGTTTGCACAGGAATATTACAAGAAACACTATGGAGACGCCATCCGACGAAAGAAGGAACGCGAGCAGCGCTTCGAGCGATACAAGCATGTCCTGGACCAAGACACAGGTAGGCGTGTACATGCGTGTGTGAACATGTGCGTGCGTGCGTGCGTGCGTGCGTGTGTATGTATGTATTTCGCTGTCCTTTGTGGGCTGCATTCGGACAGTGTGGTGTCTTCTTCCGCGTCGTTCTCTTCTCCTCACACACACGCACATGTGCGCGTGTGTGTTTGCAGGGAACTTTGTTACCCTGTTGACGTTTTGCCTCATGTGCGCGTATGTGCTCACAAAGTAAAACCCCCAGAGACTGCTCGGCAAGGCGGTGCTGTTGGTGAAGAAGGAGGGGGAAGACATTAACTGCAGCAGTGGATGTAGCAGTGGTTGTAACAGCAAGCGCAGCACACACACACACACACACACACACACACACACACACACACACACACACACACACACACACACACACACACACACTCTCTCTCTCTCTCTCTCTCTCTCTCTCTCTCTCTCTCACGTGCGCTCTGCGCATCGAGTTCAAATTTTTCTCTCCTCATCCCCATCTTTTGCGCATTCACACTTGAACCGCACATAGCCTGGCCAAGAAGACTGGATCTGTTATCTTCGACCGCGCCTACGTCCAACAAGGTTTGGCATTTGAGCCACCCACATCACAGACGTACATCGTAGACACACATCGTAGACACACATCGCAGCAGCCACCGCTTCAACGCACGCTGCTTGCACACGTGATGCCACGTTCTCACGCATATTTGCACGTGCTTGTGTACTTCCAGCCATTTGCTGCCCAAGCCGATCGTCCTTCCTGACAGGCCGACGCCCGGATACTACCAAAGTCTGGGACCTCGACACGTACTGGCGGCAGGCTGGCGGAAACTTCACCACCTTGCCAGAGGTGTTCAAGGAGAGCGGTTACTGGACCGTGGGCATGGGCAAAGGTCGGCAGCAAGCATACCCCTCAATGAAACCGCATGTTCCGCTCCATGCACCCAAACCTGTTCACACACACACACACACACACACACACACACACACACACACACACACACACACACACACACACACACACACACACACACACGCACACGCACGCACACGCACGCACAGACACATACACACACACGCACACACACATACACAGACACACACGCACAGACACACACACATACACGCGCAGACACACACACACATACAAACCGCACTGCCTGTGTCTTCATTCCCTCCCCCCCCGGCCTGCGCTACTTGGCTGCAGTGTTTCATCCGGGCTTCAAGGACGATGCACCGTATTCATGGTCGGAGCCATATTACCACCCAGATGACGGTGGCATTGGCGAGAACATGACAGACTGCTACACGGAAGTGAAGGAGCCGGTACGTTTGATAATCAAGACCATTGATTCGCTGGCACTGCCTGTCTTGCCTGCAGTAGACGAAGAAGTGTAACTTCTTTTTTTTTTTGTCTTGCATACGCTCCCGTGTTTGCACGTGTGGAAGGACTTCAAACGTTGCACTTCTGCGCACGCTTGAACACAATTATCAAGCCGTGTGGGGCTCACACATGCGCTCGTGCGCATCTGCTGTCTTGTGGTTGTTGCTTCCACCCAGATTACGGACGATGACATCAGTGACGGCATGGTGGCGCGCTATGCAGGTGTGTTGACCATGTACCCCGCCGCGTTTGCTGTCGTGCCGTGTCGGCAGTTGGCAGTTTGGTTCTGCGAGCGGGCGTGTCTGTGTATGTGTATGTGTATGCATGTGTATGTGCATGTGTATGTGTATGTGTGCGTGCTTTGCAACTTCTTGCTTGGTTGTCTCAAACGGTCGTGAATGGGCACAGCGATGCACTAACCGTTGTCAAGGGTGCGCTCGAAATACTTATTCACCACTTCACATTGCAATCTTACGGTCTACCTCCGTGTGTTTGTGTGGCGTCAGAGCGAATGCTTCAGGAGGCGGCAAAGAAGAAGAATCCTTTCTTCGTCGCCGTTGGGTGCGTCTCACTTGTGCATCACACACCACCTCATGTACAGCCTTGATTGGTGCCTGATATGCGCGTGTTAAGGTGCGCACGTGCACACAGTGCATATGACACGGTGCAATGTGCACGCAATACCGGTCGTTGGGACATTTAGCGACAGCTATTGTCGAGTTCACTCCCACCTTCGCTCTCACACACACACACACACACACACACACACACACACACACACACACACACACACACACACACATACACACAAAATGTCCACAGGTTCCGCCGTCCTCACATGCCGTGGAATGTGCCGGCCAAGTACTACGACATGTACCCGCCGTCCAACATCACGCTCGCCGACCACAACCAGCCGCCAAAGAACTACGGCGACGCACAGAAGGTGTGTGTGTGTGTGTGTGTGTGTGTGTGTGTGTGTGTGTGTGTGTGTGTGTTTAGCTGTGTTTTATGTTATGTACTGCGTCGCGTGCGAACAGCGAGGAATGGCGTCCTCGTGCGGTGGGTTGTCATGTCTTCTCATCGCCACCATCATCACTGCAACTACCATTCCACACGACGACGACGACGACCACCACCACCACCACCAGTGGAGCTGGGATCCGCAGAGCGGGCCGCGGCACTGCGGATATATGAAGAAGATGTCGCAGGGCACCCCGCCCCCATATGGCGAATACGCGCTCGTTCCAGACTGGCTCTCGTTGCTCTTCCGCAGAGGTGGTGACCCGGCGGTGCTCTGGGGGAGGGGGCCGTTGTTGTTGTTGTTTAAGTTGCTGTTGTTGTTGTTTATGTTTAAGTTGTTGTTTGCTGGGGCGTGATGTGCTTTGCTGCACTTGTGCCGCCGCCCTGTGGCCGCATTGTCATGTGAAGTGAAGGGTGATGTTGTGGCTGGGCTGTGGTTGTGGTATTTGTGCTGCTTCACGGCTTGTGCTGCATCATTGGTGTTGGTGCTCTCGCCCCTTGTGTTCTCCGCAACCACCGTGCGTGCGCACGTTTTCGCTTCACACTCACCTCAACACACCCAATTCCACCATTTCCACTCAATCCCACCGCTCCCTTCGTCCATCTCCTTGCATGGTGGCTGTGCAGGGTACTTTGCGTCTGTGACTGCGACTGACCGCAACGTCGGGGTTGTGCTTGACGCGCTGCACAAGACGGGAAAGGCGAACAACACCATTATCATCTTCTTCGGCGATCATGGCTGGCACCTCGGTTCGTTCTCTCAACAACACCCCTGATTGGTTTCGTGCTGAGTCACCTGTGCAAAGCATGTGTGTGTGTGTGTGTGTGTGTGTGTGTGTGCGCTCGGCAGCATGTCTTGAGTCACATTCACGATGTCGTATCCCAGGAGACAACACACTTCCCTCCTCTCTTCACTCCTTCACTCGCACACACGTCCACAACAATGACAAGTTAGTGTTGATGCCAACACCAAACTCACCTTCTCCTCGTCCCATTTGCCGCCCTCATCCGACCACACTCCACCCTCATGTGTACCATTCTACCGCCAGGCGACCAGGGCGAGTTTGGAAAGAAGACCAACTTTGAGCGCGGGACGCGCACGCCACTCATTGTCCACATCCCACCCTCGCTGCAGCACGGTGCGTGTATGTATGTATGTATGTGTATGTGTGCGTGCTTTTGTGTGCATGCATCTGTTGTGAGTGCATGCTGACACCTCACGATTCACCCCATCCCCCCCTTTGTCGTGCAACAATTCACTCGCGCGTCCCCACCAACCCACTCACCAACACCAGAGTTCCCCGAATTGTACAAGAAGCAAGGAGGTGCGGATTGTTCTCGACGGTTTTCGCCATGACGCGTGCTGACGTGACAATGCCCCTACATTGCAAGCACATGCACACTGTTTCTCTCGCTCCGTTTTCACACGCTACTCGCACATAAGCACACACGCACACGAACACGCACACTAATCCCACAATCCCACAAACACACACACACACCACACGTCCATGCACAAACCCACACCAACGTTGTCGCGCAGGCCAGCGAACCAACGCACTTGTTGAGTTTGTGGACATCATGCCAACCATCATGGATCTTGCCGGTCTCTCCGCCCCCGCCATTTGCCCCAACGTGTCCAAGGACGTGAAGCTCTGTGCCGAGGGCGTCTCTCTCAGGTGTGAACATGCGGCTGCTTTCGTTGCTCGCTCCCTGGCTTGCTGTTGATTTCGTTGGTTGTGTCTCCTTCGTTCTTCGATGATGGCAGTACGAAGCGGGGCCTGTGTTAGTGTTCTGCTGCGTTGTACTTGCGATTCGATTGCCCCGGTGCATGTGACGTGGGCCGTACTTGCACCCCATTCCCCCCGCCTCCACCTCCTCGTCTGGTTGCTCTTTGTGCTGCGAGTGCTTGCTTTCATCCACACCCCATGTGCTCGTGCCATTAGCCACACTTATCATCGCCATTGGGCTTGTGCCAATATCACCGTGGATATGGGTACTTCTCACCAACTGTCCCCGCCCCGAAATACGACACGCACATATGTACAAACACGCACGTATACGCACACGCACACACGCACAGGCCCGTGCTGGCAAAGCCCTGGGCCTCCTCGGATTTCAAGGACGTGAGTGGTGCAACATGTGCCAATTTGTTGCGTGGCTGCGCCATGAAGCCTGTGCTGAGAGCGAGCGTTTCTCTGCCCAGCCGTGTTTGTGGGCAATGCGCTGGCGTTCATTACATCGTACAGCCCAAAATCTTGTGCATGCAATTGTGGGTTTGCGTCCACTCTTTGCCCACACCCCGCTGCACTTGTCCACGTGGATATGGTGCTTGCCACCCAAACTCTCACGTACACACACACACACACACACACACACACACACACACACACTCCAGGCCGTCTTTATGCAATACGCCCACTGCATGCATGACGATTTCATCTGGCACGACGGCTGCAAAGACCCCGCGGAGCCGAAGGTGATGGGTACGCCGTTCGCACACGCAGGTGGCGGTACATTGAGTGGGTGCGCATCGACAAGACAACCTTCCCGCCCACCATTCACTGGGACCAGGTGAGCTAATGGCCGCGCCTTTGGTTGTTGCGTGTGCAACCGCCACCGCAATTAGGGCAGCTTGAGCAACCTGCAAGACACGCACGCACGCACGCACGCACGCAAGCACGCACACACACACACACACACACACAAACACACACACACACACACACACACACGCACACACACACACACACACACAACACGACACGGCACGCCATTGTCAACAGGTGCTTGGTGTGGAGCTGTACGACCACACAGAGGACGACACTGTGGAGAATGTCGCCGAAAGCGTCAACCTGGCCGGCACCATGCCTGACGTTGAGCAGCATCTTAGCCGCATCCTACACAACGGCTGGCGACACTCGCTGCCGTCAAAGTAGCTGTGGTTGCTGTCGGTGTTGTTGCTGCTGTAGTTGTCCCAACACATCTGTGTTTGTGGCTTGCACGTACTGCGGATGATGGTTGTTTGCTTATGCCGCTGTCTGGGTGTGTGTGCAGGCGTGCACCTATTATCCCGCTTCTTGTTAAGTGAAGTTTCTTTGCGGGTCATCGTTGATCATTCTCAAATACACATGCATGGGCAACGGTCGATCAACAACATGTCCCCATCAACACGCAAGGTTAGGAAAGAGAGCGAGGGGGGATTCTGTCGTGTGGTGAAGCATGGCGATACAGCGCACGCCCACATGCACACAGCCCCAAAACATAACACAGAAAGAAGCAAAGACGAAAGCAAAGAAAGCAATTGAACCAAAGATGTCGCAGTCACGTGCTGAAGAGGTAAGGAGGGACACTCGAAGTCAGCCTGTCACGTGCCATTTCACGCGGAGGCAAGCAACCAAATGACGCAAAACGAAAGCATGACACACACATACACACACATACACACACATACACACTCATACACACATTGCGCGAGCACACGCGGACAGTTGACATTCGTAAACAACTAGAATGGTGTGAAACACTCAAGGACATCAGGAGCATGCAAGGCGAAATCAAAATACATCTCCATACCACGGGCACAACGTGCTTGAGTACATAAACACCACAATCACTGGCTGAGCGTGGCCATGAAGTCGTCTTCATTAAATCCAAGCTCGCCAATGTCGGCATACTCGTCCTCCTCTTCGCCAAACATAAACGCGCCATCCTCTCCAATTTCCATGTACGTCTCGCTCGTGTTCCCATCCGCAACTTCCATGTACGCCTCGTCGCGAGCTTCGTTGGGGTCACACGTCATGTACTCTTCTTGGACGGGGCCGTTGGCATCGCCGAATTCGAAGTTGGGGTTGAAGCCGGGAAGCGTCGATCGCAAAGCGCTGGCATCAGCGTACATGGCATTAGCCTCGGGTGCACGCTCAGCCTCCTCGCCGAGGTACAGCGGGTTGTGCACAACGCAGCCCTTTGAGCGAAAGACTGAAGGTTCATCGTACAGGTCATTGTCATCATAGTCTGCATCAGTCGTATCTTGGTAGAACGCCGTGTTGACAGAAGCAATGTCGCGAGGCCTGTCGTATGCCGGGTTCGTGAACGCCACCGTCTGTCGCTCCTTGGCTGCCTTGTGCGCCGCTGGGGGCGACACCCCGCGCCGCCGCCGCCCAATCACCGCAAGCACAACAGCAGCAATCAGCACCACGCCGCCCACAATCGCAACAGCAATCTGCCACGCAGCGGTCCCACTGTTCACACACACAAACACACACACACACATAATTTAACAACACAGTTTGCAAGAATGGACGACACACACACACACACACACACACACACACACACACACACACACACACACACACACACACCACACACCACCATACCAGCAGCAGTACATCGTGTGAGTGGAGCGTGTGTCAGCAGCAGCAACAAACAGCAATTGACCAAAGCAGGTCAGACGCAAGCTAGCATACTGCATGGCACGGCAGTCGGAGCAGCGCTGCACCGGTGTGCGCGCACAATATACGGAGGCAACACAACCAAGCAACCAACCAACCACCCAAGCAAGCAGGCAACAAGCCATATCAACAAGCAATGGCGAGTGCTAGAACAACTTCAGCCAGTCAGTCATGGGTACACAAACTCACGCTGCCGACGACTTGGACGTCTGCTTGTTGCCAGGCCCGATGGTCGTGACCGTCGCGTTGGTGCCGGTGGTGGTTGTGGTGGTTGTGGTTGTTGTTGTGGTGGTGGTGCTGGTGTATGGCGTCTCAATGGTCACCGCAGGCACGCGGCGGCCCAGAACAATCGCCTCCACCTCCCCGCGCCGCACAAGCCGCAGCAGCGCCTCAATTGCATCCTCAAGCGCCAGCTGCGCATTCAGCGACACTGCAGCAGCAAAACAGCAGCCATGCAAACCAAACGCGGTGAGGTACGGCCCAGCACAACAGTTGTCAAGAGTCACACACACAGAGTCAGCCTCAGCGTCAGTGCAAGACAGGCAACGTCGTTGCAAGCGCATCCGTCATTGTCCCAAGCAAAGCAAGTGCTTCTCCGCGCAATCACATCACACACACACACACGTGTGACCGACCATACACATGCCTGCATGCAAGTGCAAGCAGTACACGCACACGCACACACAAATACAAGCGAAGTGCACAACACACAAATGCACACGCACGTGCGCGCAAACATTCACATGCACACGAATATACCAACCTGGACCAACAATGGTGCCGTTGACAACATCTGGCTGCGCATCCAAGACTGCAACATGGTCGCCGCTCAGCCGCGTCACAACAACGGCACGGACCTGGTCTCCGTTCACCTCAACCTCAATCGTCGGCACACGTGCAGCATCCAGCGCCGAAAGCGCCAGCGCCTCGGCATCCGTCGCGTTGACAACCTGGAACCGAAGCTCGTACCGGTCATCCGGCACATCAAAGTCCGCGCCAGGGCTCCCAGCAATCACAGCAGGGTCGCTCACCCCATCAAACCCAACCGTCACAGACACCTGCGTGTGCATGTGGGTGGTTCGGGTGTTGGTGATGATGAGGTAGGTATGTGGTGTATGTTTGTTGTGCATGAGCTGTGGATGAAAGCGAGTCAGCACGTGCATCAGCGCACATGCATGTGTGTTGCTGCCAGTAGACATGCACCACAACAACACGAGCTGACAGTGCACATCCCACATCAAACATCAACACCCATACCCAAACACACCCACGCGCACATTGCTCTGTGCCAGTCACACACCCTCCCCTTCCTCTTCCAGCATGCCGACCTGTGATGAACGACGCAGGCTCGGGTCATCCACGCTAAACGTCACCCGGTCCACCGGGTACGGCAGCAGACCACCTGTCAACCAGCACACACGCAGCAGCACCAACATGGCACAGTGTTCCACGTGAGTATCATTGCTGCAGGCAACGGCACAGCAGTACAATACACACACAACGACGAGTGCAGACAACACACACAG